CTGTACTATAATACTCCTCAAACAATGTGTTGCTACTTGAAATTGAATTTATTTATTCTTAAGAATGTCCTGCAAAATTACAAATGGTCTCTCTCTGATTTCTCTTACCTCAAGGGGGCAGCAACTTTCTGTAAATCATAACACTATAAAGCTCATTTTCCATTTCCCATTAGTTACCTGATGTAATGACATGTTGATAGTATTAATCACCAAGTGCTCTGTGTACTTATACACATGGAAGAGTGACAATGATTGATGCTTTTGTATTAGAAGAGGGTTTTTTTTCCATTTGCACTTATTGAAGTTATGAAATCTTAAGTTGTATTTGAAAGTAGGAATGAATTACTGTGTTGCCCAACACATTGATTAATTCATAGAGAGTTTTAGATTAAATGTAATGACCTCCCACTTTCCTTACACTTCAATAAACACATCCATCAACGTGTCTGCATTTTTTCCTTGGTGACATATCTATTCTTTTTAATCCTATACTAACTGTAGACTCATTCGGAAAAGTTAACTCCCTCTTTGGTGAGTCATGTCATGCACAGCACACAAAAAGAAAGAATAAATAATAGTAAAAGCACAAGTTAAAATCAAATTTGGCATTGTCACCTCTTTATATACATTCTATGGTTGTCACATAGTAATACGGAAGTTACGTCACTCAATGGCTGCATGCTTGTAAACCTCAGGAGTATTTCAGGTGCAATAAGCTTCTGTTCACTCCTGTAGGTAGATGGTGCTACAGTTCCACTTTTGCATTTAGTGTGCTTTCTCTGTGGCATCTTGTTGAAGATATTTTGCCTGCAACCACAAATATGTGGAATGCAGTAAATGACTATTAATGAAAATGAAGGCCACGCCCTGCCGTATTGTATGATTTTCAGGTTGAATGATAGGTTGGATTTGGAGTTTGCAGATTGATGAATGTCCTCATAGTTGGGGTTAGGAAGAGTCATTGAGTTTTCATTTACACATAGGTGCTGTGGAGAAAAAGTTACTGAGAAATGAGAAGTTCAATGATGTCAAACTGTGGTCAAGGCAGGAGACTCAGGGGTCACCAGCTGTGGGGGCACGGGGCCTTTCAAGCTTAGTAATTGTGGTCACTTACAGATCTTTTTATTCATTGCACTAAAAAATCCCACCTCTGTCCCAAAGGCCCTTCCTATGGTCAGCTGGTGGTGCAGCCTCTGGTTTATGTGGCCCAGCAGCTGCATCATCTGCTCCTGCAGATGTTTGCAGACTCTCCACATGCAAATATATTCTGCAATTAAAGTTTTTCAAGCCTCAAGTTTTATTTGAAGTTATCATGAGAAGAAGATTGAAAAAAGTCTTCAACATGCAAAACAGTCTTACTCCCAGAGCTGCAACCACACCTAGAACTACTCTCTTCGCCCCAGGGGAGAGATGTTGGCTGGAGTGTGTTTTTTAGCTTGTCATGACTGAAGAGCTTCTTTCATGACGCCTGGCAGGAATGGAGAGTGTTACAGGGTGAGGGTTTAGTCATTACCTTTTTTTCTGTTTACTCTTCCCTGAGAGCATCCTGCATAGTAAACAAATGGTCTTTATGACACAGTTAAGTCATGTTATTTTCCCACCAGTCAACTTTCATATTGGCACTCAAAGAGCACACAGTGCCCAACAGTCCCCATACGAAACCACATTCAAATTCACTATATCTGGATTTTTATTCAGCTTTACACCAAATTGCACACTCTCAAATATGAGTCACCTAAACCTGTCTGATCTTTTTCATCAAAATCCATGAATTATTCTACAAAAATGTTGCAAAGTTGCAGAAATTGCTGGATCCATCCCCTGTCTAGTATCTGCACTAAAATGTAAAGGGATCTTCTTCAAGTCATGCCCCACCTTCCAAAAAATCTCATTGGAATCAGTTGAGTAGTTTTTGCATAGTTCTGCAAACAGATGAAAAACTTATTCTCCCTGGTGGAGGTAATAATATCTACAGGTGGTAAAACCAGATATCTTACAAGTCATTTCTTTTAATGCAACCTTTACCTACAGCAGGAACTCATGACTGTATGTGCATGAGGTGCTTTAAATTTAGTACCTGACAGACCACAGAGTATTCCTCGTAGATGATTGACAGCTGCCCTCTGTGGTTGCGTGTCAGACTCCTTCACCTCCACAGTGGCTCATTGATGCTTCGACCATCTACTCAAGGGAAAACAGAATAGGTGATCATTTGATACCTCCAGTGAAATAGCCCACCCTGTCAGGACTAGAATAATAGTCAACACAGTGAGGACCTCTCAGCGACTGAGCAAACAGTCTGAGAGTGTTTCTTCTAGTGGTCCATTATGAAAACAACATGTGGATGAGAGGGTTTTGTTAAACTGAGTGCGTGCAATTCACTTAAAGGCTGACAGAACTGCAGGGATTACTCTCTGAGTCTGTGGAGGTGTTACATATAAGCCGGACATAATTTACCACTTGTCGTGCCTTACATCAGTGCATTAGATGCTAAAAGATGGAAAGAGTGCACTGACTGTGTGCAGCGCTGCGTTGCAGAGTGGCTCCATGCTGAAGTATTTCTAAGAAAAGCCTGATTGTAAATTGTTGAGCTGCTGGAGAGGGATTTCTTTCAAAATTTGGGATATGGCCTTTTTATCACCCTTGGTTTAAAGATGTGGGCTGCGGACTTACACAGTGGAAAGCCTTCAGGGCCAAGGAGTTTCCACTTTCCAGCACTGGCTGCTACTGTTCCACCGGCCTGCACACCCAATACATAAGTGCATTTACCATGAGTGTTATCTTTCTCTCTCATGGGAGGCAAGAAGCCAAGGCTAATCTTGTATCCTATTGCAACATCTGTCTTTTATGAGCAAATTTATTTTTCTTGCTCACTGTTTATTTATGGTGTGTGTATCGGTTGGTGAGTGACAGTGAAAAAAAATGGGGCGTTGATATTTAGATGGGCATGTCAACCTTAGCTATATGAGGAGCAGAGAAAGGCTGTTGAGATCATGTCAAGTTTATTCTCTAAAGAGATTAAAAGGAATAGATAAATGTTTTTGAATATATGTTTATGCACTTTTAGAGGACGGATGTCAATGAGTGTGTAAAGGTGACCTTTGGGCCATGGCAGAGGTATCCCAGAGTTCGATAGTTATGATGCCCTTCTAGAGTAGCATTAAGCCTATAAACACAGCTAAACATCTTGCAACTCTAATTCTAATTGCTCAGTAATGAATAGGTTATATCTTTAAACATTTTTAAATATTGCAGTTTGTGTTCTGATGGCATTCCAGTGTTTATACTGAGCTAAGCTAACAAACTGTACAAGTGCTGCACTGGGTTGTGCAGATATGAAAGTGTTATCAATCTTTTCATTAATTCTGTTTTCTGAAATATTGAACAAGTCCTTGAACTAACTGTCTTAATCTAAATAGACCTTAATATTTCTGAGGAAGTTTGCATATTCCCTTATGATTATTACAATTGTTGCTCTTTAAATACAGACAATTCCTCTCTACAACATTGCAGAATTTTTAATCTTAATGATGGTCAGTTATGAAATGTGTGAGTAATAAGAATTGTTTCACAAACTGTTAGAGCTGTTTGTTTTTGCTGCCTATTTATATTCGTGGAAAGAGTTTACTGTAACCGCCTGTCTGACTGCATGTCTGTAAAGATTTTCACTCAGAGAGATGCGTCTGTGGAAAGGTCAGTAATAGCCGGTCTCACAACCTCACCATCTAATTTGGGAAGCCAACACCTTTTTCACAAGGTGTAGACGGGAAACGACTCGAGGAAAAGCAACATGTTTAAGAAAACTTTGCAGCATGTGTGTAGTTGATTGATCCGCAGAGGGAGAGGATTGTTTGAGCCCTTAGGGGTTTTTGGATAAGCCTCTTTTTTGTATGGAAAAATTACTAAAAAAGCAGCTTTATCTCATGTCTGCATGCCAAGTTCACTCCCACTGCAGCCTGCAAAGTTGTAAACAGGGGTGGACAGAGGGGAGCGAAAACCTGTTGTGCCCACACATGACCTGCAAAGCCATTAATCTCAGTCTTCTGAGATAATCAGGAGGCCAAACCCTTGCCTTTGACCTGATAGAAACTTTGCAGATGTACTAGACTTGACATCAGTCAATGCAACATGTCAACACATCTTTAGAAAGGTCTGTTTCCTGTCTCACATCTGGATGGCTCTCTGGATGGCTCTCTAAACAGATAGCATTACCATAAAAGCTATTAATAATAATCTATTAAAAGGAGGAGGACAGGGATGTTTTTCCTTTGAGTCTGATAAATATCTACCTCAGATGATGCTTAGGATACATATTGAATTTGGACGTGTCGGGACGTGGGTCTGACACAGGGAGGGGTAGGGGAGATGATACTGAGGGGAATGATGCTCTGTCAGGGTGACCCCGCAGGCTGCCCCACGGTGCATTCCTTCAAATCATGTGCTTCCTAAACTCTTGATGAAAAGTGAAAGTGCAGCGAGGACTGAGCTTTTTCACAAGAATAATGCTCCATCTGTCATTCTGCTTTCCTACTCCACATATCCTCCCCTTTTTATCTCTTTGTTGGCCTTCCCTCAGGTCATTCATGTGAGGACAGGTGGTTGAGCCCCGCCTTTGACCCAGGTCAGGTTCATTGTGCCGACAACCCATTCTCATCTCACGCTCTCTGGTGAGGGTGAACTCTGCCCTTAAAATCCAGGATTAAATCTAATACTAAAAATGTTGCTAAACACTTTT